TATATAGACTAACATCATGCAAAAAGTAGACAAATTCACTTCTAAAAATTTTCCTGGCTTTCTAACTATACGACAAGAGCCGTTACAAATTCATCCAAGCTAGTCGTTAACTGATGTTGCTACTCAGAGTGAAATTGACGGTTATCTGTTTAGAACACAACGTCATACAATATGCCATTTGATATATGAAAACCTTAACTTTCTATTGGTTATAGGTAATATATAATGAAACGTAAGAGAGAACTATCTACGAATTGTGAAAGAGAGGATGTGACAGGTGGGTGTGGCAGGAGGGGTCTGATTTTCTATTCAATAGCCCTGTAACCAAACAAAATTGAAGGCTATAAAAGTTATGGTCTGTTTGAGCAATAACAATTTTATAGAGAGTATTTTATGTTTAATTTTGTACATTTTTGAGGTGTGATGTATAAAATAGGGATGATGACATGCTAAGACAAAATGTGTCATGTGTGTCGCACTAGTGGAAATTCAGGATTTTTTTTATATATTTCCTTTTAGAATTAAGAACTTAAAACTTGTATACTATTAAAATATGGATTATTAGCTAAGTTTTTATGCTTTTCTAATTGGGATAATGTAAACAAAAAGAAGTAAAATTTTGAATGTAAGACACTAAAACCTTGTGTCATGCGCAGTAAAGGGTACCCAAGCCAATAAGGTTAATGGAGGTGTGGTGCTGCTAGTTGACCAGCAAGTCCCCTCCTTGTCTGTGCCACTCAATACGTCCCTGGAGGCTGTAGCCATCTGTATTTGGGTCATACCATCACTATGTGTTCTGTGCACCTGTCTCCAGGAGAGACTTATGATCAATCAGACCATGATGATCTTATAGAACAGTCTCTCTTCTTCCTGTTGGGAGACTTTAATGGAGACAATCCCCTCTTGGGTGGTGTTAATATTGATGGGTGGGATCATTCTGTGGAGTATATGCTCTCAGATCATAACCTTTCTCTCTTGAATACTGGTTCTTATACCTGTTTTCATGCACCTAGTCCGTCTTTTACTGCTGTTGATCTCTCTATCTGTTCACCTCCACATTTTCCTTGGAGGGATGAAAGTGATAATTTTCCTACAGTTTTTGAGGGAAATTGGCTGCAGTTGATGCCACCTGACCCGTGTGTCATGGTGGAAGTTGGAGCAGGCTGATTGGCTCTTCTTCACTGCTCTCTTTCAGAACTTGATCCTGCTGTCTTTAGTCTTCCATCTATTAACAACTGTGTGAAGGCAGTAACTGATTGTATTATTCAAGCAGCTGTTCTATACCCAAAACCTTGACACATTTCCCATGGTATCCTCATCCATGGTGGTCTCCTCTTTGTCAGAAGGCAAAATGGGCCTGGGATATCTTTCAAAGTTATCACATTCTTTCCAACCGTGTTGCTTTCCAGCAGCCTGTGCCCATGTTTGGCTGATCAGACGTCAAAGTCAGAAGGAATCGTGGATTCAGTTAACCACCAGCATCTCTTTTACAACCACTTCCAAAGTCACTTGGGACAAGATTTGGAAAGTCAATGGGAAGTATGCTTCTCATCCCCTTTTTGCCTTGCTCTCCAATGACCAAGAAGTAGCTGATGTACAGAGTATCGCCGATACTCTAAGGGAGTGCTTTTCCCACCTTTCCAGGACTTCGGTTTCTTTTCACATTTTCTTGGCCATCATCTCTCAAGCTGAGAGATTGCTCTTTTGGGCAGATCGTCTCTATGATTATAATCTCCCATTTACACTGGTGGAATTTAAGCTTGCTCTTCATCGATCTGGCAGTACACCAGTCAGATCTGATGATGTTCACTATGTGATGCTTCACCATCTCTCTTCTGCCTCTGGATTTGGCAGGAGGATGTTGTTCCTTATGCTTGGCACAAGGCTATTTTCCTTTTTTCGAAGTCTGGAAATGATCACAAGATTTCTTCTAATTATTGTCCAACTGCTTTGACTAGCTCTCCATGTAAGGTTTTGGAGAGAATATTTAATGCTCATCTTGTTTGGTTCCTTGAATCAAACAACCTCTTTTTGCCAACCCAATGTGGTTTTTGTTGACAGCGCTCCACCATGGCCCACTGATTTGACTTAACCTTGATCAGGGAAGCCTTCCTCAAGAGATAGCATCTTTTTCCTATCTTCTTTGATCTTGAAAAGGCTTATGACAATATATGGAGATTTGGTATTTTGTAAGACCTCCATTCCTATGGGTTGCATGGCCATTTACCCATTTTCATTTGTAACTTTTTATTTGACTGAATTTTCCAAATACCTGTAGGTTCAACCCTGTCCCGATCCATCACACAGGAACTTGGAATCCCTCAAGGCTGTGTCTTGAATGTCACCCTTTGAGGTGACAGTATGAAGATCAATGCTGTCACTAAACAACTTTCTCCTACTGTTGCAAATAGCCTCTGTGTCAATGACTTCCACATTTCCAGTCAGTTGTCAAACATGAGAGGTTTATTGAGCATCAGTTTCAGACCGCTTTCACTTGCTTATTTTGGGTAGACCACAGCAAATAGTTTCACCTTCTGTTCCTCTAAAATCATTTGCATTCATTTTTGCCAACAGTGGGGCTTACATCCTGATCCTGAGTTCCATCTCGGTGATTTTGTTTTTCCAATGGTTCTTAAGACGAAGTTCTTGGGCTTATCTTTGACCATAAGCTTAATTTCATTCCTTACATTAAGCAGCTTCATGTCAAGTGTACATCTTCTGTGTTCCCAAGTTGTGGAAGAGGAGACACTGAGGGCACTGAACATCCTCCGTGTCGTTTCTTCCACTTCTTGAGGAGTGGACAGATGTTCCATGCTTAAGATCTATCATGCCCTCATACGATCAAAGCTGGGCCGTGGGTTTCTGGTCTATGGTTCTCTCAGACCCCCTGAGATGTTGGATTTTTTACATTATCTGAGGCTTTGGCTTTCTGCACTTCACCATTCTTGAGTCTGTACATAGTCCCATGAATCTCCTCTTCACCTCCAGCGTTTGTAACTTTATTTACAATATGATCCCAAGCTTTGATTCTTACCACGGCATCCTACCTGGGGTTGTGTCTTCCATCCTTGGTGGGCTGTGCTCTTTTGGAATAGATGGCCTGCCTTTCCTCCTTTTGGCATTCATATCCAGACACAGCTGGCTGAATTGGGTCTATCATTGGATGATGTTGCTGAGTTTGATGATCAGCCCATCCCACCATGTCTCATTAACATCCCCACCTGTGACCTTTCTTTGAGTCATCTGAGGAAGACAGATACTCTGGATTAAAATTACCATCTTCTCTTTGCTGAACATTTTTCAAAACATTCTTCTTTTTTCTATTTTTCCAGATGGTTCAAAATCATGTGGCTCTGTGGGTGCTGCCATGGTTTGTTGTGGCTTGGTGGTTGCCTACAGGATCCCCTTGGCAGTTTCTGTGTTCACTGCTGAGTTGTATACCATTTTGCTTGCCTTGGATTACATAGAAGCTAAGCAGTACACTAACTGTATTATTTACACAGACTCTCTTATCTCTCTTCTGGCCTTGGAATCACTTCCTATGAGTTCTCACCCTGTGTTTGGCCTTTGTGACACTCAGGCTACAATTGCTTACATTTTACTTTTGTGCCATCTTTATGAATTTGAGCAGTGGCACCATTTTAGACATGTACTTTCTAAGGCTTTACTCCTGATATTGGAGAGTGTCATTGGTGATGGTGACACTCTTCAACTTGATTGTGTTTTTAGATTTTTGCAGGCCATTGGCCTTTTTATTTCTATTTAGTTTGTACCTAATTTTTAGCCATTGTATAGCTTTTAATTTTTCTTTTTACATTTTATTGTATTTGCAGCATTTTTACCAGTTGTTTGGCACAAATAGCCTAGTTGCTTTGTGCCAAAAAATATCAATCAACCAACCTACTCCCAGCATACCATCTGCAGGTTGCGACTCATACATTTGGTTGCACATGGAGTTAGACCAGGAACCAGAAATCCATTTGGTTTTCGATTTGGGTGAACCATCATATGGACACTTCCCTACCTATCATCACTTAGATGCTGGTTCTCCCAAGTGGCAGGTGATGGTTGAGGATTTGTGCATATGTGCCCTGTCTAGACAGAAGTGACAGAACATTCTCCCTTCTGTCTCATAGGCTTGTGGTGAAGACAGTAGGGACCCTCTTCCTTTCTCAGACTAGAAGATAAATACCCGATGCTCCCTGGTTTTGAACAGGAGTTGATCCTCTGAGTATGGTTGGACATGCCCTAGCCATTGTATACCATGGGGCACATCTTTGATTGGAACCCTCTATCCTACCATCTCCTGAATGTCTGTTCCTAGGAGTTTGGTTTTGGTGTCAAGCTGGGCCAATCAATATGTATGCAGTCTTGGTTATGGTACACCTATTTCCATCCAATTCTGTGACAGTTATTACTGCATTGGGTGAGAAGTATGAGAGGTACAGATGTAGTGCAGTCTCCCATGAGTGTGTTCCTTTTGCAAGAGAGGTCACACTCCACAGTCATTCTTCGGATGCTTTCTGAAGGGTGTTCATTTTGGTAACTTTTGCACTGGTGCCTCCACCTTTTCAATGTGGGATTCTGGCTATTATGTAAGAAAAGGTAAGATACCACATTGGAAGTTAATATTTTCCTACACTGAAAATTATTTCCGATAGGTACTTACCTCCTCTTACACTTCCCACCCTTCCTCCCCACTTCCAGTGCTTCTTTTGTGTCTAATATCAAAGTGAATGTTAGGGACTAACCTGCATCAGGAGAGTGTATTACGCTCTTACTGGTGGAGAGTTTTCGCATGTGAAGATACAGTAGAAACACGTTGAATGTGGGCTAGGGGGGAATTTCAATGTTTGTGGCAAATGAAAAAATGTTTGTATATGGAGGGCAGCACTGAATGATAGAAGCTATTATGTTAGAAGAGGTAAGTACCTATCGGAAATATATTTTCAGTGTAAGAAACTATTAACTTTTCATTGACAGTGACAGCAAAAAAAAAAAAGATCCATTTATTATATTTCTTGTTTTACTTGTATATTATTTATTTATTATTATAAAAGTAACTAATATTAAGAAAATTAAAATATATTACATCAGATAAGGTAGGATAAAGAAAAAGAAATATTTTCACGAGGTATGCTCACGAGCAGCCTCTGTCTAATATAATTTGATAGGGTAACATGAGCTACACGTTCACCAAATGATTTACAACTTGTGTGGTGGGACTATTAGTTAGATACTTTTCAATAAAATTTAAGTAGAAACAGATTTATACTGTTATAAAATTTAAGCTTTTTAGGATAAAGAAATTAGTCTCATCTTACAATTTGAAATCATTCTTGAAAGAAAAAATGGTAATTTATATGTACTTTGTTGTTGTTTTTTATGGTGGTTACAAGGTAGAGAAAAACCAGATAAAGTATAGTTTTACTGAGAAAAATAATGTTTGAAATTTATGTAGGAGGTTATAGATATTATGCAAATGAAATTGATAATTTTCAGATAAAGGAAAGTACTTTTAATCTTAATATGAAAATCACTTTGCACTTGGAGCAGTCGACGCTTTAACTCCATATATTCACAGAGAAATATTTAGTGAAAATACTCATTAATAATTCTAATGTTTTGTCTATAAAATTCTTAATGCTTACTGAAAGTTTGTGAAATTTTGTGAAGATATACAGAACATACTAGAAGTTACAGTATTAAAACTATAAAGATCAATTTGGGGTTATGAACTTGGACGATTTGACCGAGATCATCCCTAGAGAGTTAAAATGCATCTCTTTTTGCAATGTGTCTGATGCATGTATGATAAATGTATGTGTAATATTAAGGCTGTGAAAACTGGAAAGTATTCTGTTGTTGTCTGTTACAGTACTTGAAAATATATTATAACCGGTATTATGACAGAATGCCTATTCAGTACCTGATTTATGTTACTAAGGAATAATAAGAACTTATGTTCAAAGATAAGCTAACTATATTCATGTAGATCAGAATGTTAAAATGATTTTTTATGACAGAGCATTTAACCAATACCTGACTGATATGGTACATGTTGTCCACAATGTCAAAATTGTTGTTTGATTTAATAGATCGATTGTTCTATAAGTAACTTAAATACAGGTTATTCAGTGACAAAGCACAGGAGTAAAAATCCCTTTTTTGTTTTCTTTTAATTTCTTTTGTAAGCAAAATACTTCTACATTTTCCATTACCTGTTATTGTACAGCAGGGTCAAAAGTGTGTATGTCATAATCTTTTAAAGAATTACATTCAAAATTTAACTAAAGAACTTCATTATCAATGTATGTCAATAGATTTGTCATTTTTATATTATCTAAGTTTTAATTTCTTAATTTCAATAGTAAATATTTAAAAGAATTCTCCTCTTCACTTGTCTGTGCCACATGATGTATCTGTTCATTGAATTTCTTCCCCTATCAATTTTATAAGTTTAATAATACAGCTTCTATAATGTCTAACCAACTACAACACAAGCTATATACAATTATAAGTAAGAATATAAAATTCAAATGTCTAGCCTCCTTGATTTGGCAAGATATCAATAAGTTTATGAAACCCACCAGAGAAGAGCTTCCCATTCTTTTATTTTTTGAAAACAATTACATAATCAAGTGTACATTGCTGATGAAAATGCTTATTTTTGGCAGTGAAAAGTGGTAGTTGAGAAGTGCTAGATTAATGGTGAGCAAAGCTGTTGCTCTGAGTAGTAGTGGAATTTTTTAACCTATTTATAGTTAATTAGAAAGCCAAATAAATAGGTAATTTTGAGATATTATAATCTAGTGACTGATATACTTTTGTGTTCTGAAATGTATTTTTAAAAGGTACATCAATTTTTTTTTGGACAATAAACTTAGGGAGGAAAAAAAAGAGGCCTAGTAGAGTTACACATGTGAGTGCAAAGTTTGTGTAATTCATGTGTGAAGAATTGGAGGTAAACAAGAAACTACTTTTATTGTACATTGATGATAGGGTAGAAAAAAAAAAGATAAGATATAAATTTTAGTCAAAAAATATTCTGATATTCATTTAGTAGGTTCTAGAGATTATGCAAATCAAATATGAAACTTTAAGATGAAAATAAGTATTATTATTAACTTTTCTCTCTCTTTAAAGGCTTTATAATTCAAAGATAAATCTTTAGCAAAAAGATATTACTAGTTACATTAGTAATTTTTGTGTGTGCGCTTATAAGATCTTTCCATATTTCATTATGATACACTTAGAACATTTAGAGTTATAGTATGTGTAGTTTCAAGGTGGTTGAGTTAACCACCTTAATTCTTAAGCAGTAAGTATTAATGGTTATGATGTTTAAAAACAGTCTTATTGCTATAATTATTATTAATTGTCACAGTTATGAGATTATTTTGCATAGTTAACATAGTATATAGATGTATTAGGTCATCAAAAAAGTAATGTCATGTTTTCGAACACTTTCATTAACCACCCCCCAAAAAACGTACATCACGTATAATAGTTAAACTAGCTGCCTAAATGGCATGTTAATGTAGCCTGTATAATGTGTAAAATTTAGTATACTCTAATCCCTTATAGTGATGGCACGCGACGAGACACACATTCAGTATGCAATGCTGTTTGAATACAAGAAGGGAAACAATGACTCTGTAGCCACAAAGAATATCAAAGACATTTATGGAAATGTTTTGAACATTCGTAAG